GAACTGCCCCGGCGGCGGGGCGAGGCGGGACAGACCGGGACGGGGGGCATTTGTTATCCCCCTCAGGCTGCCTGGCCCGAACGGGTGTCGCGCCCGAACTTGGCGCCGGGTGCGGGGTTTTGGGGCTCCCGGTGGCGGCGGCGACCTCTCGAAGGCCGAGTTAATGTTTAGCGGTTAGGGGCCGTGTCTGCGTGAGGGCTGTTCTAAAAAGTGCGGCTGGTTTCGCTTCCTCCCCTGTTTGCCCTGCCCGATTCCGTGCCCAGCTAGAGCTTGTCTCCCCAGCCTGAAGTTTTTACTCTCTTTCTTTACAGTATGAAAACCCCTGGACGATCCCGAATATATTGTCAATGGCAAGAATGGGTTTGGCGCCGGTGTTAGGCTATTTAATTGTTGAAGAAAATTTCAATGTTGCACTAGGTGTCTTCGTTTTGGCTGGCGTGACAGATTTGGTACGTGTCCATCGTTCTGGGAATGCTTCAGGCATAGCAGGGGTTACGGTGGTCCCATTGACGTGCGTGGAAATGCAGACCCTGGTGTAGAGTGGAAATGAATAAAACAGATCAGCTGTATATTTGGTTTTCTAGAAATGCCATGGGATATTGCAAAGGGACCTCACGGGTACCCCAGGGAGAGTTGGTGCTGATGGAGCAAAGGGGATAGATTCCTCAGGCTGGCATTGTCCAGGCAGTGCTTGGGCACCGAGCTCTTTGTTGCCATGTGCAGATGTACCTGTTGCACCTCTCATGACAATAATTTTATGAACATTCTCCTGGTTTTTTTTAATAACAAGATGAATTCCAGAATCTAGAATGCAAGATGAAAAAAGCACGCTGCAAATACCAGCTAACGGGTGTCTTATTTCACCTTAAACGAGCTGTGTTATGTCATTTGTGAAAAACCTCTCTAACAGTAGCGTGTATAAGCTATTTTTATTCATGGTTTTGTAACAGAGAAACATTGAACTTTGTTTTCCCTAGTTGGATGGATTTATTGCACGAAACTGGGCTAATCAGAAATCAGCTTTGGGAAGTGCTCTTGATCCTCTGGCTGACAAAATTCTCATCAGCGTGCTCTATGTGAGCCTAACTTGTGCAAATCTTATCCCAGGTGAGAAAATCTAGATTGTAGTGCATAAGGTGAAGAAGCTGATTTTATGAGTAGTAATATTTTTTGTGTTTCTGGAAGGAGAACTGTGTATTGCTTGGAACTCTTGCTCTGTCAGGTGTACTTTGTTGTTTGCTCTTAGTAAATACTTAAAAAACACCCATCTGAGCAGACCTCACAGAATGCTTGTGCTGCCCCATCCAAAAACCACTAGAACATGCTGCCATCTCCAAATATTTTTTCTTTTAACGCAACGATAATAGCTGTATAAAAAATCTTCTCATAGACTGGAATGGTTTCAAGACTTGGGATTAAACCATTTCAGAAGTCATTTTCAAACTCTTCAGTCGCACGTGGAACTTGTTTGGAAGAATTTGAGAGTGGTTGTTTCTTCTGGCTTCACCTTTTGTGCTGTTTTGGGTTTGATTTGGTTTTAACCAGGGATGTGATTTTTCACTAGATCCTGTTGGGTTGGTTTTTCAGTGCCCCTTACCTCCATGATCATTCTGAGGGACGTGGCACTCATTGCTGCTGTTTTCTACGTGCGATACAAAACTCTCTCTCCACCGGTAAGTGTATGGCTGTAAACAAAACTATATGAACATGGGATAGTTTTGGTTGAATCTTCTGGAATTTTACAAGCATTGAAAAAAAAATGAGTAAGCCTTTAACAAAGTTGTAGCAAAGTGATTTTTGTCTTGAGGTGATGGTTGCTCAAAACTTGGGTGGGTAGCCTAAAGATGTAATGCTGTGCTTGTTCTTTTGGCAGGTAGATTTGTAAGCAGAACAGTATTTAATAAAACAGGTTGCATAAAGATGAGTCAGAGGTACTGATAATTCTTTTTTCTTGTGTATGATATGTGATAAGTCATATAAGAGTAGTAGCAATATAATTCTTCAGTGCTACAACTGACTTTTCTTATGTGTTGTGCAAAGAGGTGTGTCAAATTGAATATACTAGAATTGCCTTTTGTTTTCTTCCCCAACAGAGAACACTCAGTAGGTATTTTAACCCTTGTTATGCTACTGCCCAATTAAAACCAACATTCATTAGCAAGGTAAGAGTAGTAGCTTGTTACAGGAGATAATTCCTCAGTACTTGGGGTGGTGTGTAGTTTGGAGAGAGGGAGCTGTTTAATACTACTGCTGCTTCAAAATAACACCAGCTAATTGGGGGGCAACTTAAATCCAGAAAGATTTTTAACTGTACTGTGTCAGAGCACATGCTGTTTTTGAGAGTGAGTGTAAGGTGTTTCCTTAAAAGAGGTTTCTAAATAAATTTTCTGTATATAGTTCAAGAATATTTTTTTGGATACAGCATTCTATGTCAAAAATAGTGTGTTCAGCAAGAGTAGGGAAGTGATCGTGCCCCTGGACTTGGCACTGGTGAGACCACAGCTTCAGTACTGGGGTCCGTTTTGGGCACCACAGGCTACGCAGGGCATTCAGCTGCTGAAGCAGGTCCAGAGAAGGGCAGTTGAAGGTGGTTGAAGATGGTGAGGGACCTGGGGAACATGTCCCATGAGGAGTGCCCGAGGGAACGGGGATTGTTTAGCCTGGAGAAGAGGAGGCTGAGGGGAGAACTTAGTGCACTCTACAACTCCCTGAAAGGAGGTAGTAGCGAGGTGGGTGTTGGTCTCTTCTCCCAGGTAACTAGTGATAGGACGAGAGGAAATGGGGTTAAGTTGTACCAGGGGAGGTTTAGGTTTCATATGAGGAAGAATTTCTTGCCTGCAGGAATGGTGAGGCACTGGAACAGGCTGCCCAGGGGGGGGATGGGGTCACTGTCCCTGGAGGGGTTCAACAAACCTGTACATGTGACACTTTGGGACATAGTTTAATGGTCATGGTAGTGTTGTGTTGATGGTTGGACTTGATGATCCTAGAGGTCTTTTCCAACCTTCATGATTCTATAAAAGTGTGTATTGGTATTCCTTGCATAGTACACGTCTTCATTTTTGTCACGTTTCCTATCTTTTATCAGATGAATACAGCAGTTCAGCTAATTTTGGTGGCAGCTTCTTTAGCAGCTCCTGTTTTCAATTATGTGGACAGCATCTATCTGCAGACATTATGGTAACTTATGACTTCAGGTGTTTTTCAGATAATTTAATGTACTCTTAAAGAAACTGGTAACTGAGATTAATCTAATTGTGTGGAACAAACAAAATGAGCCCAGATGATGTAGTAGACTCATATGCCTGAATTGTTACATATTTATTCTAAGTGGCACAGGAGCTAGATATTTATTTGCACTTAATTTACTGTACAAGCAAAAAGTGGTCAAATTAAACTAGTTAGCATCCAGGAATAATATCTAAGAAACAAATCTTCAGAACAGACACGGTGTACAAAGGCCAAGTGTAAATTCAGATTAATAGAAAAGAAAGGAATGGAAAGAAAAGCTCCATGGATACTGTGGGTTTTTTCATGGCTGTAAGTGTCCTTGAAAAACAACCTTGATACCAGTAAAAAGAGATGAGAAGTGTGTTCTTATTTTTGCTTTATACTGTACATACTGTCTTGAAATGTAGGTTTCTGAAGTCTCTTTTAAAAGCACCTGAAGAAATCAGTGACTTCCACTAGCCTGTAGGAAGGAAGGGGTGGGATTGAATGGAAACAGGCATACAGGAGTGTACCTCTTTAGGTAATGACTGTTCCTTTCAGTGCTATCACTGGAGATCTGAACTGTAATTGAATTGTAGCTGATGGCAGGTGTTACAAGTACAGTTATGTCTCCTGAGCAGTTAGGCAAGAGTTCAGAACAAAAGAGATTGAACAGCAGATAACAGAGTTACACAGTAACTTAAAGTAGTGGAAAATCCAGTGTTACTTGTCTTTTAGGAAAAGAAACAAAACAAACCTCAAAGCTTGTAAGGAAATAGGAACCTTGATCTTAACAGTCAGTGTGGTTTCTCAGCCTGTTGGAAAGATAATTCTAGGATTGCATCTGTGAAAGACTCTTACCTTGCTGCTTGTCTGGGACTCAGAGAGAGGTGCCATGTTTTGAGTAACAGAGAAATGTTGGGTGTAACTTCCTGAGGTCTTCTCTAAACACTCCCTAAAATGACCTGGACGAGTCTTGCAGTGTGTCCAGGGAGGGCAGTGGGGATGGAGGGGCAAGACTGTAGCAGTAGCTCACACCTGGGTGGTGTCAGCCTGTGACACAGGAACGCTGCTAATTTAGACATGTATGTTTGGTTATTACCCAGAGTCTGGAAGGGGAACAAAAGAGGCTGCAGCTGCAACCTGTGCTTTGGTTTCTGAGTTTCACAAAATGATCAGTTCAAGCCTTGTATGATTTGATTGCTCCCCATTCCTACTACTAAGGAATACTCTCTTACACTTGTAGAAATGTAATGTAGAAATACTGAAACAGGTCTTTAGTCTTCCTTTCTCTACAACAAGTGCTAATATGATAAAAATTTAGTATGTGGTTACACTGAAGCATGGTACTTAGCACTGGGTGGCAGTTCCTTTGTTTATCTAATCGTCCATTTAGCACCGAGTTTCAGCATATAATCTGTAAACTGCATTTCTGTAGGACTTAGTCCTTGGCTGTGTAGTGAAAAATAGGGAAGATGCTTAAAAATAACACTTTTTATTAATGTACTGCAGAGTCAAATGACTTACAGGAACTGTTTTCCCCCAAGGTGCATCACAGCTTTGACCACAGCAACGTCTGCGTACAGCTATTACCACTACGGCCGAAAAACGGTTCAGGTGATAAATAACAAATGAAGTGCTCCCGGAGGGACTGGGCCGTGGCAGCAGGGTGTGCTGTGCTGCTGAAGGTGCTTGGATTGCAACTTGGGTTTTGGATCAAGAACTCTCTTTTCTTCCCCCCCCTCTCGTAAACCATAGCATCGCAATGAAGTGAAGTTTGAAACGTGTACTGTGTATATAGAGAGAGACTTTTCAATGTATTTTTAATTTGTTTAAAAATGAGGTTCTTTATAAAAACAAATAAATAATATTCTTAGAGATGCAGGTTGCTGCCATGTGCATTCTGAGTGGGTTTTATACTGGTTTTGAAGTCAAAATATGCACTTTTCACCAGCTTTTTTCCTATCTGTATGCAAGGCACTGAGGAAGCTCAGGTCTGGGAAGAAAAAGCAATTCTAAGAACAAATTTGTCTTTGTACTTCAACCTAGCATTGCTCGTTAGGACTTAATGACATACATCAGCTTGCAGCAGCAGCAGGTGTGTCATTGAGGAGCACTACCTTCCGAATCTTACAGTGACAGAAAATTTACTTCATATTCTGTGGTGATACAGATAAGCCATGAAGATTTACTGCCCTACTCTCAAAAGTGTGAGCAACAGTGAACTATTCTCATCACAGCAAGAGTTTTTGAGTCTCAGAAGAGTCAGCAATGTAATCAAGTGTCTGCAGCCAAGTGGAGATACATTTCTCATCCTGTATATTCAGTTCTAGTGATTGAAAGAAGCTCCTGTGATCTCCAGGTCACGAATTTCACAACATTTTCACAAATGAAGAGCTTGGAAGAAACTTTTAGGTGCACACACTTAATTATTCTTGTATCTCTAGCTTCAGGTGTACACTGTGACCCCTCCTCAGGCAGGGAAAGCTTGCACAGGTTCTTTGGCTCCTCTCCAGAAAAAAATACAGACTGAAGTAAAGAACTAGGCAAAACATACTGTGTTGATCATAAACTTAGGTGTTAAATTTTCAAGCAGTGTGATATTTCTTGTATGTCATAAAGAGTGCAACTATGAAGGGCTTAAATAATTGAAATCAACTGGTAAATGACACCACTGTATTATTATTAGATGATTTGCTGTGGACATCTCTTGAGAGCACATGGTCTCCTTTGTGACTGCATATGCTTGTGTATACAAAGCATTTTAATATTTTTTTATATTTAAATGTATATAGAATGGTGCACAGAAAAGACACTTGAATTTTGTTAGTAACTTTTTCTTGGGTGCTCCTGTGTTGTTTATCCTGCATCTTTCAGCGAAGGGACAGAGGACAAAGGCTAAGGAAGTTTCCTTAAAATTTTGAATACTTACTAAAATAGAGTGCATTTTATTGAAGAAGCAGTTTAGAAAGCAGATTTATTGTACTCAGGTCAGTCTTGCTTGATTCTGGTTAACGGGTTTTGGATGGGGTTCTTTGGTTTTTTTGGGGTGGGTTTCAGGTGTGAGGGTTTTGTGGTAGGTTTTGGTTTATGGTGGGCTTCGGGTGGCTTTTTTTTTTGTGGTGGGTTTTGATGGGAATTTTTTTTGTGTGATGGATTTTGGATGGGGATTTTTTTTTTGGGGGGTGGGGTGGGTTTTTTTTTCCCTATTTTTAATCACAGGTATCTTTGAAAACACTGCATAAAGCCGTCAGGGGCGGGAGGAGGACGGGTCAGCGAAGGCTCCGTGTCATCACGCGGGTCGGTGCCGGTGTCGGTAAGAAACTGAACGTCCAGCTGCTCTCCGTGCTTA